GACCTTCCGTCAGCTCTCTACAAAACGCTGACGTCTGGACCACTCAATTCTTCTGTGCAAGTAAAAACAGCTTTGCCAGCAGCGATATGGCACCACGGGCCTGCGGTATAGAGCCAGCAGCGCGGGCCCCACCTCCACACCCGACAAGCTGCCGAATGAGGCTGTCCCGGTGATTCCATTAGTATTGGCTTGCTATTTGTTCACTTGTTTGTTATGTATTAACCTTCGCCTAGCAGATGATCCAGCTAGGAACAAAGGTCAAAAAAAAATTTAGAGGGAGAAAAAAAATCCTTAAAAAATGAGACAGTGCTTGTACTTTGGAAACCATCCTCCTTTGTTTTTATTGGTGGGACTCCAGTCAGGTTGTGGGAGGCTAAGGTTCACAGGGCCCAGGGCAGAGCTGAAGACAAGCAGCCCTCAAAACTAGGGGTTGCCTTTGGCTGTGGACTCGGTTCTTCCGCCCCAGCCCTCTCTCTCTCGGTCGTGGCGGAGGCTCCCAGTCCCCCTTCGGCTGACGGTCCAGGGTTTCATCTGGTGGCTCCGTCAATGACACAGTGTGGATGACTCCCCGAGTCACAGGCCGGGGGAGTCAGCACCCCTTGGGCAAACCAGGTACCTGCCTTCACTGGGCTTATACTCTAGTTGGGGAGACAAACACTCTCTATATTTTTTAAAAGACAATTATAACTTTTGAAAGAGTTTGAGGAGGAAATAAGCAGGATGAAGTGGAGGAGAGAAGCTGGCAGGAGGAAGTGCTGTCTAGCTCAGGGGTCAGGGGAGGCCTGGCGTGTGAAAGGCCATCTTTGGGTTGGGCCACGGGAAGAGCCTTCTGGAAGGAGAGCGCAATGGTTATAACTCACCATTGGGAGAGGAAGACCAGGGTGGCTGCAGCCCAGTGACTAAGGAGAGGGGACAAGATGAAGCTGGACAGGTGAGCTGGGACCCAGATCCCCAAGGCCCTTGTGGGCCAAGGTGAGAGGTTTGGATGGTGTCCTTCTAACTACGTGCACCATCATGTCACACCCCTCTTCCCCCAACAGAAGGAGATAGGCCCCAGGTGCTGGGGCTGAAAATGCAGAGGCAAGCAATGAGCTGGGGAGGCGCCCAGTAACGCCAGGTATTATTCAGGACTCGGCTGCCCACCGGCCCTGCGGTAAAGCCCGAGGCCTGTGCATGCACTTTGTACCTAACAGTCAAAGAAAAGTAGGACAAAGGCAAAGAAGAATAGACAGTTACTGAGACCTTGACCTTAAGTTTTGCAAAAGGTATTTTGAGAGTTGGCTGGAAAGGAAGGTCAGTTCTCTATGAACATCACCCCCACCCCCACACAAGAGGTTGTGGTTTTTACCTGCGAGCTTCTAATGCATGAGAAATGGCTTCTAAACACGTGCAAAGTAACTCAGAGCAAATCACTGACAGGTCAGTAGCAGATGCTAAGCGTCCCCCTCCATTCCTCATGCCCGCGTTTGGGAACCTCAGAAAGCAGCTCTCCCTGGTTTCTCCTTGGGCTGGCTTTCCAGTGGGCAGAACAACCATTCCTCCTCGTTTTCTGCTGGGCCAGGACTTCACTGCTAGCACCCCACCGCCCTACTGCTGCCAAGCGGACAACAGGTATCTATCCTCACAGAAGTGCTGGGAACCTGGGGGTCACTTCCCAAAGTCCTCTGAGGTCTGGGTTTGGGCTGATAAAGTGAATTCATCTGTCAGGACCCACCAAATGGAGACTGCCCCCGTGGCCTGGCCATGTCACAAACCTAAAGCCAGTCCAGCCTGCACGCACAGGAAACCCATCACGGAAACTGACGTGCACCAAAATCACAGAACTCCTGCTCAGTTTTAGCTTGCTGGACTGACCCTAGAAAGTACGTCGTCTGGCCTCATAAGAAACCCCACCCCCCACCTCTCAGCCAATCCTGCTCTGTTGCCTCTTCTAACATCTCCATGAAACTGGCTTTAGCCCACAATCCCTCTGGAAGAGGTTCCACAGCTTATGAGGTGCTGGGCTCCCCCAGTTCCTGGATTGCTTCCCCTTGAATAAAGGGCTGAGTAAACGGGTCACTGAACTGTTTTCGCTGTGTCACATGACAGAGCTGAGGCGCACTGAGGCAGCTGAGTCCAAGGCTACAGGCTCTGCGAAAGCTCAGTTGCTAATGAGAACACACTATCCATGTGTCTGAGGACCAAGCTCCCAAAAACATTTGTTGTATTTATTGATTGACTTTAAGGTGTATCATTTGGAGGCCTGCGGCAGGGGAGAGTCACTGAAGTAACTGCAGACTCCAGCTCCCTGGCAGATTTCTCAAATAACTGGAGGACAAATTGGGACAAATAAAACAGAATGTTGGGGGCACTGGGCAGACTGCTCAAGAGAGCACATGTGCCAGCAAAGCCACGCATAGGAAGTTAATACATGATAAAAATGGCATTATAATTTAGTGGAAGAGCAGGTTTTTAAAAAAAATATTGTTATTGCTGGAGCAACTAGTTAACAGAAAACTAAACTATTCCAGGTCCTCATCTCACTCACTCCATGTTCCCGAATAAATGGCACAGGGGGCCGATAGGAGAATGTCGTGAACAGACAAAAAAATACCTCGAAAGTTTGACTTATGAGAGAGAAAAAAATACCTCGAAGGTTTGACTTATGAGAGAGAAAGAATGCTCTGAGCTTAAAAGCAAACTGAAACCACGAAGAAAAATTGTATGGATTTAACTATTTAAAATGTACCTTTCTACACAACAAAACAACATAAATAAAATTAAAAGTCAATGAGCGTGAAAAATATCTGCAACCAATATGAAATGATTAACATACCTAATATACAAAATGTTCATGCAAACAGATAAAAAGGACATTTGCTCCATCCAAGTAGACAAGAGGTATGAAGAGATATTGCACAAAAGAGGAAGTGTAAAATAGCAGTTAACTGTGAAAAACTGTTTCTCCTTCTCCATCCTCTCCCCCAAATGTGGGAGGTTTCCCTCCACTTGGCAGTTCTCTGGATGTCCTACAATTTCACTCAGTTCCGACAGCACCCCCCTGGAGAGAGCATCAGTCCCCACCAGTGAAGGGCTCGGTTCCACGAGGACCGTCCTCCACCTCAGATGCGAAACCCAAGTCTAGGTGGTCACCTGGATTTCTGACTGACCAGCTGTAATTTAGAGGTTCCCACGACCCCCTCCTTGGGTTTGTTAATTTGTTGAGTGGCTCACAGAACTCCAGAAAACAGATTACTTACTAGATTACTGGTTTATTATAAAAGGATAAAACTCAGGACCGGCCCACGGAAGAGACGCATAAGGCAGAGTACGGGGCGAAAGGGGAACAGAGCTTCCATGCCCTCTCTGGAATCCCACCTTCCCAGAACCCCCTCCACATGTTCACCAGCCCAGGAGCTCTTCCAGCCTGTACTTCAGGGATTTTAATAAAGGTTTCATTACAAAGGCAAGATTGAGTAGATCAGTGGCCTTTGGTGATTGGCTCAATCTCCAGCCACTCACCTCCCGGGAGGTTGGGGGTGGGGCTGAAAGTTCCAGCCCTTTCATCACACGCTTGTTTTCTCTGACACCTTAAGGGATTTTCCAGAACTCACTTTGTGGTTTGAAAAGGCTTGCTATAGATAAATTAGACACCCTTATCTGCATTATCACTTGGGAAATTCCAGAGGTTTTAAGGAACTCTGTACCAGAAATGGGGACAAAGAACAAATACAGATTTAGTAGAAGTCACTGTACCCCATTAACTAACATTAAAAAGCCTGTACCTTAGGCAATGTAATCAAAGATATGCCAGAGAAAATAACCTGTGAGCTTCATCAAAACAGCAGACGATGAATGTACAAATTCTTACAAACTTTCTGAAAAGCAATTTGGCAATCTGCATTAAAATCCTAAAAACGGTCCCATCTTATGGCCAAGTAAATATTCTATTTGGAGGCAGCAATCAGAAATGCAATCAATGATTACTATAGAAATGTTCATCACAGTATTACTTTGACAAAAAATGGAAAGCAACTTGAATGCTCAGCATCAGAGTTAAAATTAAGACACATCCAGATGATGAAACTCTGTGTAGCTTTTGGAAAAACCAGGTCTAAGGAAATAGTCTGAAACGTTACTATTAGCCTTGGTATCTCTGGATAGTGGCATGATGAGAAGTTGTTCTGCTCTTTTTGCATTGAAAATATTTCCACAATTAGATGTTATATTTATGAAAAAGTGAAGTGATAAACATAACCTTAGTGATTAGATCAGGCAGGGAGGAAGTTGGAAAGAATGCTGAAAAAGAGGAATACATGCAAATCAAAAGGAGAACATCACAGGGATTGAATTGACCCCAAACCCCTGAACTTCAGGGGAGCTGGGTACAAGCAGAACAAATGCATTAGCTGTCATGAGGGAAGAAAGAGAGAAGGGGTCACATATATGCATGTACTTTTCTTTCTTTCTCAAAGAAGCCTCTGATCTCACAGCTGAAGATGCATATTGAAACTAGGGCAACAGCCCACATTCAAAACAAAAAGAAAGACACCAACAGAACGAATACCCCACCGTGAATTTCCATCTAGGTGTGAGAAGCAATAGAGTCAATAACATAGGTGCTGAAAGCCTCTCAGACCCTCTGATACTCTTTCTGACAACCTTAATCCACAGTGTGCATTTTTAGGATCTACGGTGTCTCTGCAACTGCCTTTGAGTAACACTTTTAAGACCTGCAGGTCGGCGATCTGCTTTTGCCTGTCTGCCAGTTTCTGATGAACAATCCACCTCACAAGCCACAGGTGTTTTGCAGGCTTCTGGGAAGCTGTGAGGCCGATGCTGAAGGGAGGGGAGGAGAGCAGAGTCCAAGGGTAGATCACACAGGAGGAGGAAGGTCACAGACGCCGACCACCAGTAACCGTCCCGTGCCCACTGCTGGGGTGCAAAAGGTCTCAGAAGAAAGCAAACTCCTCTCAGGGAATAGCTGGCACGAGGGGGAAGAGTGCAGGCAGGCTACTTACCGAAAGAAGATGCAGAACCCACAGGAACTCTTGTAAAAGGGAGGAGCAGGAGCTCAAGTTCAGTTGATCGTCCTTTCTTGCTGGCTTGCTAATGTCAGGCTCCAGAAATGTATTGGTGAGAGGCAAATGTCAGAGCCTGGGCCACCCCAGGCTTGTGTTGCTTTTCTGCATGTGCCTTACCAAGTAAACAGTTTTTTTTTTTTAAAAACATTTGCTGACATCATGGTCAGATGATTTCACTTTCACTTCTTACCTCTCATACCCGGCATGACTTCTGAGAAAGGAGACGGATACCTCTGTCACGCACCAGACTGTCCTTTTACCCCAAGAGGAGCCTGCCACCCAACCGCAAAACCCCTCAAGGGCCTCGACTGTGGACGTCCAGGAAAGAGGTCGGCCAGGAGGCTCTCAAACCTCCCGGTGGTCTAAACTCCAAGGTACACACAGCCTAGGATCATATACAGTAGTAACCTTCACGTTTACCTGGTCCAAGCTCCAGGACCCAGGTTGTCCCCTACTTTTCAGAAATCAACTTTGGAGGATGGCTGAGCTTCTCCGGACACAGCGTTCTCAGGGGGGTGTGTAGGCTCAGGCTGGAGCAGCTGGAACACCTCCCATTTCAAAATAAGAGCCGAATGAGGCTTTTATTTTTGTAATCATGGGGACTCCTGGCCAGAGTTTAAAACTGCTTGCTTTGCTCACATGACCAGTTGGAAATTCCGAGCTGGGGTTAAGTTTGGCTAAATCTGTATGTAGACAGATATGGAATATTGCTCAATCCTTCCGGGTGTCTCTCTCCCCGCAGATGAGTGCTTTACCTGCTACATATTTTGCTCCATTTGCAGGTCTTTTCAACTCAAATCCTAGACATGGGTAATGTGACCACAGAGAAAGGAATAGAGGCCTTGGCATCAGGGGGCTGTGCTAGAGATTAGCCCACCATTTAACCTCTGCGAGCATCAGCTTCTCCTCTGCAAAGTGAAAGCAAAACCTACCTTGCATGGCTGCCGTGAGGATGGGGGGTGATGGGCATGCTGAGTTTATACTGGGAACGCGGTCATGGTGGCTGTTCCCGTTAAAAGCAAAATTCCCAAGTATCTAGTTCAGCCTCCACAATAATGTCTTCCAGGCAGAGGCAACATGAACATTTTGGTGCTAATATAAACGACTGACTCGGCAAACAGAATGCTGATGAGTGAAGAAACACAACGCAGAAGAGATAGAAATATACATTTTAAAAATTTATTCAAAGTTAGGATGCATATTAGTTTTTCAAGGGTCAAGTATGCTTCAGAATTTATTATGCAAAAGAGCCATCTCCCGCCCTGCCTCCTTTCTGCTCCTGATGCAAACACTTCTGCCTGTTTTAACTGATGCTTTTTGTATTTACCGCAGTTCTCTAAGTAACATGCTTGTGTTAGTACTTCTTGATTGTTCAGAAGTTCCAGGTAAAATCTATTGACTCTCAATAGATGATGAAGACCTGGCTTCTTTTCTCCCTCACTCCACGCTCCACAGGAGTAGGTCCTATCTCCCTCCTCCTTCCAAACCGATTATGATTTTATGCAAATCAGTACTCAGTGTCTACAGCATTGTAACTACGTAAATACAGGAGCTGAGCCATGTAAAAAAACTACGATTTTTCTTTCTTGCATAACTTTTTGTCTGCCTTGGAGATAATTTCCTTCATTTTTGTTTGTTTGTTTTTTCAATGTACTTAACACTAGTGTAACCCTCAAATCTTCATCAAATCTTTTTTTTTCTGAGAAATTTGTACATACAGTTTCTGACCTATCCCTGAGAAAGGCCGCTCCAGTCTGGGCCGAGGGCCTGGCCACCGGACAAACGGCGGTCCTGCTGGAATCCCTCTTCACTGCCGCCATCCTGGGCTCCCTTCCCCTCTCTCCTAAGTAGGGTCTCCTGTTTCCAGCATTAGAGGCTTTTCTTTCTTTATTCTTTATTTCTTTTTTTTTTAAGATTTTATTTATTTATTTTTAGAGAGGGAAGGGAGGGAGATAGAGAGAGAGAGAAGCATCAATGAGCAGTTGCTGGGGGTCATGGCCTGCAACCCAGGCATGTACCCTGACTGGGAATCGAACCTGCGACACTTTGGTTCACAGCCCACGCTCAATCCACTGAGCTACACCAGCCAGGGCTTCTTTCTTCTTTATTTCTACCTTTAAACAGGATGTATCAAAGGTAGACAGAGCATAGAATTTTAGGTTAAAAATAACTTGCCTTCATAGTTTCGAAAGCCTGGTTCCATCCCATCTACCTTTCGAGTTACTGTTGAGAAACTGAAAGCCATTTTGCTTTATAACTTCCAAAATGGTTTCCTCTCCTATTTTCATCCTTGCACCCCTGTCTTAAAAAGTAAAAATGATTGTCATTTCAGTGGGTTTTGGAGAAGGAGCCAAATTAAATGTGTGTTTAGTTTGCCATTTTTAACTGGAAATTTTTTAAAAAAATTTAAAACCTAGGTGGGTTATTTCTGTCTTTTTTTACTGGTTCCCTCTGGCGCCAAAGCTGGCTTCTGCTTAGGCTCGTTGCTCTAAACAAATGATGAGCCTCCTCTTAATTGCTTGCCACCAAACTCTCCAATGCTTCTGACAACACCCTTAGCTTTGAAACCCTCCACACTCGGTTCCTAACAGATCCACCAAACAGATCCGTTCACCTGGGGAGAACTTCAGAGCTCTCTGATTTGCCTCTCCTCCTGGGGCAAAACCTCTGAGCCACTGCTGTGCAGCTGAAGGTGGAGAAAGTGACTCACTTCTCCTGGACTGAGTGACACCTCTGCTTGTCCAGCATAGAGCTGAGTGGGCTGTGGCCTCGGGTCTTTTCAGCTTGCCTCTCCCCGCATGGAACCTCCACGCCCAATGAGCTTGGGCAAACACCAGGGCTGTTGTTTTCTTGACCTGGTGATTCTGGGAAGAGCCTTTGTCTTCTGGTTGGGTTGGGGGAAGGGAGGGAGGCCCTGAGTTCTTGGCCCTACTCACTTGGAATGTAGCCTCTGTGACCTGCAGGTAGGGACCTGAGGAGTGCCTGCAGCCTGCCCCTCCTGGGGAGATTCCATAGCCCTTAGCCCTTGTGGGGGAAGGGCAGTGTGATCCCTGTTTTCCTGGCCACATGCTCTAGACTCACAGCTCTTACTGAGATTTAGTAGATTTTCTTCGATGAATGTTTCTTCATATGTTGTATGTCCTTAGGACAATTTCCAGGGATGATCTTCTTCTTCTTCTCCTTCTCCTTCTCCTTCTCCTTCTCCTTCTTCTTCTTCTTCTTCTTCTCCCCCTTCTTCCCCTTCTTCCCCTTCATCCCTTCTTCCCCTTCTTCCCCTCCTCCTCCTCCTCCTCCTCTTCTTCTACTTTAACCAAGTTGTGGAAATAGGGAGAGAGCATCCAGCTACTGGCTTTTGGACTAGGATCTCTGAGCCTTTCCTGTTTTTTGTTTTTTTTTTAAACAGGGAAAAGTTTTAATCGAATAAACACCTTAACATAGCAAAGATTACCATGAATAAATCTAAAATGACAAACTTCAGAAAATTACAGAGTGAGAAATAAGTGGCTGTACATTTCACCCCTTAAGTTAATCTATGAATTTTGAATTTACTGATAGGTTCAGCTGGGGATCTCTTCATCATTGTTGTTTAGATTTTTTGTTTTCTTAAAACTACTAAAGCCAATAAAAGTTTATTGAGGTAAATATTAAGTTACTTTTACAGATTTCTAATAATAGATACATTGGAAGAGACTTTGTCTCAAATATCTCCACCTGGTTTTGTAGAACGTCGATGGTGGTCTAAAGTAATCGTGAACACACAGCACTCATGTCCTCGACCAGGGTGCCCGAAGAAATGGAAATAATGTGTCACAATTAGATTAAAACCCTCTGTATTTAAAAACACTCTCAGGAATTACAATTCTATCAGAACTCAGTGAGAACAAAGAATACAATTAAGTAACGGCAGTTAAACTGAATAGAGGTGAATCTAGGTTACTCTTAAAGAGAGAAGAAACAGATGTCTTACAGTGGGTGTGGACATCAGGGTTTTCCGTTGGAAATCTGAACTGAACCTGCCAGGGACCCTGTGACCCTGGGTCTCGGTGGCCTCGTGAGAGAACGCTCCTCCTTGCTCGGGGTGGGAGGTTGGCCGCCAGCTGCCTGCTTCTCTCTGAAGGGGGCAGGTGAGTGTACTGCCTGCAGCAGCGTCTCAGCCAGAGGTGTCAGGGGCCCCGTCGTCCTTTGCGGCCCGTTTCATGCACGTGCATTACTCTTCGGGCCTCTTTCTCCCCTGGGCCTTCAGTTCCCACGCTCCTCCTATCGCCCGTCTCCTCGGGGAAGCGGCTGTAGGCTTTCCCTTCGATGAATGTTTTCATCCAAATCATCCGTTGTTTATTATTTCCCTCGAAAGTTGTTCCAGATTTTTGTTTTCTGAGATACCTTTGCCTTTAGTTGGGATCAGAAGGGTTTCGATCCATCTTTGATTGATGTCTGTCCTTGAAGATGAGCCCTGACTGAAACTGGAAAAGAATGGCGTTCGGGCTGCCCGTCACATACCGAACCCAATAAGCAGAGACAGGGATTGAATCTTTATGGGCACTTTATTCAGATGCCTGGTGATCTGAGAAGACGGTGGGTTCATACCCTAACAGACCATCTAAAATTCCATTTCAAACAGCCCCTTTTTATAAGGAGAAGAAAAGTATAGGTAAGGGGTTTGGAATTCAGGGAACAGTTAATTGGATTAAAAAGCTGCAGCATTCTCGCCCCTGGCGGCGGTGGTCTTTAGCTGCGTCCTGGGCAGTGGTCATCTCTGGAGCACAGTGGCTCAGGTACCATCTTGATGGCCTGCAGTCCTCCTGGGCACAGAGGCGGGACTGTCTGTGGTCTCCTGGAGTTGGGGGGGTGGGTAACATACCTTCAGTTCCTGGAACAACAGCTTTTATGTGCATTGATTACTAAGCTTGTTAGCTATTACTTAAACTAAACATTTCCAACTCTTGAGTCCTCTACCATTACGGCCTCTATAACTGGTGACTTGAGGACATCACTGAAATAATGATACTCTTCAACCAGGGCAGAAAAGCCTTTGGCTAACTCTTTATTCCTCCTTAAAGTATGTTTGGCTTCTTAAAAAAAATTATAGCAGCGGAAACAGAGGGGAAACCCAAAGGGCTTTGTCTCCTGGAGTCAGGTCACATCATCAGCACAGCTGGAGAGCTAGCTGGACCGATGCTTCTGTGGCAGCTGGAGGCCCTCCACGGGCCCCCGTTAGTGTCCAGGGGACCAGACCACAGCTACCTGCTCGGAACCCCACGGACTGCTGTACTTCTAAAACACACAAGTGCCTGGCAGCCAGGCCAGACCACCCGCGGGGCAGGCCAAGTGAGTCCTGGCTGAATAAAACATTTCCCTGATGGCTCCGCTTGCACACACAGGAGGTGACGCTGTTTGTTTGCTGGGGGT